CAGTTTGGGGGTGGTATGTTGAGTTTTTCAGGGAACCCACAGCTCAGCTCTTTCACTCATGCCCTATTTAACATGGCTTAAAGTTACTTAGTACATCAAACATGGGTTGAGAATACACTCTGTGCGGCTTGGGTTTTTCCAAGGCGGGATGTTTATCAGCGAACACTGGGATTTGTAGGGAAATTTCACACTTGAGTGTTCCCCTTGTCATAAACGAGAGGGGAAATGGCTTAAAGAGACCTCTGCAATATGATATTTATTTTCTATTTTAAAAAGCATGTACTTTTTGCATTCTATTTCATAAAATAATCATATTTATTTAAAGGACTAAGAGCCATTTCCCCCCACAAATCTATATAAATAATAGCACTTGCCATATGCATTTTTATGAAGGGATTGTCACTTCATTTGGAGGGTAGGTTTTAGGTTTCTGATTTAAAATGCAGGCCATGTGGCAGATACCAAATTAACTTCGAGGGGCCTGGGAGAGTACCTGAACTTTTTTTTCTTTCCTATAGTGGTAAGGCATATCATTTTAAAAAATTCAGTTACATAAGCAAAGCAGTTTATTTTAAAATCATTTGGTATAATTTTATGAAGATTTTGGCATGCTACTTGGCATACTACTGTGACTTGTATGCTCCCTACATTTACTAATTTAGCACCGCAACTTCACTTCTGCTGAAAATACAGATAAGAAATTCTTATTTGGCCCTCGGGAAATATTGCCATTCTGAGCATGAATGAATCTGAGTCCTGCTTCAGCAAGAGCTAAAAGGAGATGTGGATTTTGTAAGATCCCCGAGAGTCGGTCAGGAGCGGACTTGCTTGAGCATCCATTGGAAGAGACACGGGCTCCTCGGAGGGCAGAGCAATGGTCCCTCCTCCATGAAAAAGTGTGTCAGCTGGCTGGGACAGGCATGCTCTGTCAAGGGCAGTGAGAGTCCCGGGCAATCTGCAGCGCTTTTAAGCGCCCAGAGGAACAGGCAGCCAGTGCCACAGAGCTGGAGCCAGGGCACAGTGAGAGCAACCCATGTGACTTCCCCGCAGGAGCTGGACAGGAATGAAAATGGAAGATCGATGTGAGGGATGTTGGATCCCCTTCAGGAAAGACGTGACCCACATAGCAAAGACCAGGAGCAGGAAAAGTGGCGATTTGCAAATGGGATCCTCCAATCATTATGCTAAGTCGTCCAATGCCAGGCATGATATCATCAATATCTTTGAGCCCTGCAATGGCAAGGTATACATAAAAGCATATCCTCAGCTGAGGGTATTTTTGCCATAAATTTTTTTTTTTTTCAGACAGAGTAGAAGGGAGGGGGATAGAGAGACAGAGAGAGAAATATCAATGTGAGAGAGACACATTGATCGGTTGCCTCCTGCACACATTCCTACAAGGATTAAGACTGCAACTGAGGTACGTGCCCTTTACCAGAATTGAATCCGAGACTCTTCAGTCTTGGGCTGATGCTCTAACCCACATGTGTCAAACACAAGGCCCGTGGGCCAAATCCGTCCCGCCAGGCCTTGCAATGTGGCCCGCACCGCGCTGTCATCACTGCACTCCGCTGCGTTTCCATCACAATGACAGTTTATGACTGTTCAGTAAACCATTCGGCCTGTGATTTAGGCTGGATTTTAGATTTTGGCCCCTTCTCTGATTGAGTTCGACATCCCTACCTAACCATTGAACAAATCTGCCAGGGCAGCATAACCTATTTTAAAAGGACATTCTAAATAAAGACAACACACAGGAATACTAAAAACTGACTCAAAAGAGAAAAATCCAGAATCTAGGAAATTTAAAAGGCAATGTCTCAGCTGAAAACAATATATTTCAAGTATATGTTGTGAAGGGGAATTAGAATATATCATGACATCATTGACTACCTAGGGCATTGCCTTTTCCAGTGAGAGTTTGCTCATAAATCACCCACAGAGAATTTTAAAATTACAGATGTGGATGAAGGATTAAGCATTTCTCCTCCGACGAGCTGCCTCCAGCAGGCTTAACATGGATGCTATTCACACATGTGCCCCAGAGAGTAAGACAGCCAATGTAAGAAAATACTGGAGAAATTGTTTACAACTCTTAAAGAGATTCATTGTTGTTTTCATCAAATATGTATTTTATGATGAGTTTTTAGAACGCACAGAGCAAATTTATTTGAGGGGTAAGATCTTGGAGGAGGCAGAGGGATGGATTCCAGAGAGTCATAGAAGAGCCATTGTTGGCTCTTCCATTTTCATTCCTGTCCAGCTCCTGCGGGAAGTCACCCTTGGAAAGAGAGAGAGAGACATCTTTCTCAAGTCAAAATACAGGAAAAGAAAGATAAAGAGGTCTCAAAGCGATTTGGGAGGGTAAAAGAAGATATTAGAGAAAGCTTAACAAAGTTCTTGCAGTAAAACAGGAAGTGAAAACTCCTAGTGGATTGATTTAGGGCAACATTTCACTCTCAGGGTTTCGAGTTGAGGTCCTAGAGTCTTGATTTACGGGAAAATTAGTATTTATATTTGCAACCATGTATAATTAGTAGATTGCAAAAGACTGAAGAAGTTTGTGTGCCTGAACTAAGTGAAGTGATCTTGTTTATATTACTATTTTCATTAGTGAATCTCTATCAATTCATGTAATTGCATACTTCTCACCTAAAATCCTGAGGCACTTAAGGACCAAATACACTTGCATAGTGGGTGCACTGGTTAATGGCATTTGCATTTATACACTAAATAAGGAAGAAAAGGTTTAAGATAGGTCAGAGTAAAATTTAGAGAATCATATAGCTGTCTGATCGTTATTTTCCCAAGTGAGGCAGCAGCCAGAACTGAATCTTGCTGTTTAAAATCAAGGTGTAATTTGTCAGTGCTTTTGGGGGAAATACTGATCTATTCAGACACTAAAGCACATCATAAAGACAAAAGTCATGTCATTAAGTGTCCATCACCCATCAAGAAGAAATTTATTTCAATTAGGCTAAGGAAATGCATTTCATGGTAGATTATGTCAAAGCAAAGACTATGGGGTAAGAGTTTGAATTATATTGTTAGTTCAGATAGCAAACAACTAGTCACATGATACTTTCTCTAGTATGATAGCTGTCTTTTAAAATTGGCAAGTGGGTGTGATTGTATTAAATAGATTTAATTTCTAATATTAAAAATATAGATTTTTAAAATCACCTTGCTTTCCTAAATTCACAAGTGAATCTGCTGTTAGAAAACCTGAGCTAATGTTCACCTGGATGAAGACATGTTACTTGAAAGGAAAATGTTAGTTCAGCTTCTTATTCAACTCAGGTATTACTGTACAACCAGGGCTGACTTATAACCTTAACCTCAGAAAGGAAACGAGTTGTTTTTCTAAACTTTGGTCTGCAAGTTAAACAGAATTTCAGGCTCTTGACCTCAGAATGACCAATGGACAAGGGGATACAGCAAGCTCCTAAAAATGTGTCACAAAACTCTGTAATGTGTTTACTTAAGAAAGCACTGGTCAAATGAAGCATCTGTCTCTTAATGAAATCATGTTTTTATTTTACCTAATTTTCCAGCTGGGATTATTGAGGTGCAAGAAGGTCATGCCAAGGGGTGGAAAAGTGAGTCAGTGGCCCACAGGGGATCAGAATCCAGAATTTTTAAAGAAGAGATCCGGGAGTTCCGATAGCAGGAGAGTTCAGTGCATTCAAATGCAGTTTTATGTAAAAACAATAAAACTCTAGAACTCCCGTTTCAAAACAGTAAACATAAATGGCAAATATTGCATCAATTGGAAGGAACAAAACTTAGTTCTTTTCTTTTTTTACTTTATAACTAGCTGTGTCAATATCCTTCTGAATCAAAGTCAAGGTTATCTACTTCAAAATGAGCACCGACAAGCCATTAGAAGATGGTATCAAAATCTTGGGGACTGTGGCCAGATGAAATGGGTTAGAAGTTTAGAAATTTCTCTGTATGTCAGTTTCCTGTCTCTTGCGTGACCCATTGAAAGCGCTTACTTCATGGTGTTTTGTGAGGATTCAAGGATATAAAAGATGCAAAGTACTCAGAATAAAGGACTGAAAAATATCTATTGCCCAGTAATTGTTAGTACTTTGTTGTTCTCATTAACATCCTGGACTTACACTTTTACTGATAAGTATTTCAATCTTCAGTTGCTTTGATAAATTTTGACATTTCTAAACACTCTTGATTTGGGAGAGAAGGGAACATTTCTTATCATAAGGAGAAAAAAAATTATGCATTAAGTGTGTGATATATTTATTTTTTAGGCCACCTTCAACAGGTTGGGTTTCCACATATGGCAGACAATCTACTAAGATAGGCCTCCCTTAAAGAAATATTAATTGGGATTTGATTTATAAAACAAACAACTGATGCTAAACACTGAATGCTGCCAGACATACAACAAAGACCTATTCCCACCTTTCATCTGGGGGCCAAGAAAGACACAGCGTGGCACTGGCCCAAACTGGATAGGAAAAAAATGCTCAGTTTGTGTTGATTAAAGCTATGGTTTGGGGGGAAAATACCAAATTTCATCCTAGCTTCCCTTCCTTTCACATCTCACAGCCAGCCCTGACATCTGATTCTTGCACTTGGCCTTGGTCTATGGTGTTTCCACTTTCAAAACACGGCCTTGTTTAATCTAATCATCTAGGGGAGCACAGTCCCACGGAGATCAGCACAACCAGAGAACGCACGCTAACCACAGCAAAACGCGGGCAGCTATGCTGTTGTGTCTCACCCACTTCCCAGGTCTCCAGCCAAACATTTGGCTTCAGCTTTCCCCGTCGCCTGCTTTCAGCTGAGGAAGCATTTTGGAATCTTTCATGGTGAAGAGAGTCACTTAGCACATTTTATAATTAACCTCCATGAAGCAGAGCTTCGGCAAGTTTGCAAATCATGGGTTTCATTAGCCTAAATAAAGTCAGATTGTTCCTCCTGCTGTATTAGAAGCTGGCCCAACATCAATACAATTATTATTTTGAGCAACCATGTGTGCAGCAGGTGAAATCTTTATGATTACGAGCCGATAATAAAAACTTTGACAAGTTAAAAATATTAGCTCAAAATATAAATTTCCATCGACTTGAAACTTTCTCAACAATTTGGGTTGTAAAATGGCTGTACCCACATTCTTTTTAAAAAATATATATTTAATTGATTTTTTTTACAGAGAGGAAGGGAGAGGAATAGAGAGCTAGAAACATCAATGAGAGAGAAACCAGCTGCCTCCTGCACACCCCCCACTGGAGATGTGCCCACAACTAAGGTACATGCCCTTGACCAGAATCGAACCTGGGACCTTTCAGTCCACAGACCGACGCTCTATCCACTGAGCCAAACCGGTTTTGGCTGTACCCACATTCTTGCCTCCACTCAAGGAACAGAGGTGGGGACTGGTTTCTTGATGGTTTAAAGCGACTTTCATAAATGTTCTCAAAATGCAGTCAGTGTTTACACACACATAACACAGAAAGGAGAAAGGTAAAGTCTCCATGCTGCCTATGGAGACTCTAAGGTCATCAAATTTTACTTTCCAGAAGCCTGACTGGGCACCAGTTGAGTAGTGCCTCCTACATCTAGCTCTTTCTTAGAAAGAATTAGCAGGGAAAGAAAAGCATTCCGGGTTAGCATGCAGGGCATGCAAAGAGTCGCTTTCCCAATTGTTCACTTAACCCACTTCTTTCTGACTTTCACACCACGGATTGAACAGGTGTCCAAGGCACTTCAGGCAGACTCTCTCTCTTTCCTGTTAATCCTCAATGCAAACAATTTTCAGATGGAGGAGGGAAAAGAACAGAGAAAATGCTCATTCAAGTACCATGGCTTCGTGTTTCAAACTACTATGTATAAAAAGAAGGCATTCCATGAGAAAGTTTAAGTTGGTTCATGAAAGTGTTATTCTTCACCAAATACATCCTCTAGAGCTTATAGAATAATAATAATAAAAAAATATGGAAGCAGCCTGAACAGTTTCTCCACAGCTTATGTTTTAAGCTAGTAACATCTTTACAGTCTGTGTACATGAAGCAAATGGGCGCATTCTGAAATGGGCTCAAGGAAAATTCAAAACACTCAAGCAAAACAGGGTTCTCACAAGGTCATGTGCATCACCGGACAGAGCCCGTATCGTCAACCTCCAAATCTGGGGGGTAGTATGTGTCTAACAAAAGGGAAGAGAGGGAATCACATGAGAAGGATAGAGTCGAATTAGAATCTAGAGCATGAATGGCTCGTTCCATGGCCTCATGCAACAGCCTAAAAATAAAGCACTGGAAACAGACTCAGGAACACGCTGGCTGCAGAGGGGAAGCCGTAATCACACGCAGATGATTAGAAAACATTTTGTAAAGTTATCTCCTCTAAGTTTCGCAAGGCTCAGACTTTATAACACATGTTTACAATTTTTTAAGGCAAAAAGTGAAATTAAAGAATCATAAAGCAATTAAAAAAATGAATGAAAGCCAGATCCCTTTATGAAGTGGGAATTAAATCCATATTCCTCTAGGCCCGGATCTTAAATGTCTCAGAGTGGGCCATATGCCATGCAAAAAAGGGAAATGAAATAGGCAGAGTTTGATTGGAGAACAAATTATTGAGAAGTTTAAAGAAGTACAAAGAGGTGAGTCAACCAAGAATTTAAAGGGGCCAAAACTGGTTTGGCTCAGTGGTAGAGCATAGGTCTGTGGACTGAAGGGTCCCAGGTTCGATTCCGGTCAGGGGCATGTACCTTGGTTGCGGGCACATCTCCAGTAAGGGGTGTGCAAGAGGCAACTGATCGATGACTCTCTCATCGATGTTTCTAACTCTCTATCCCTCTCTCTTCCTCTGTAAAAAAATCAATAAAATATATTTAAAAAAAAAAAAAGAATTTAAAGGGGACTGAAGGGTATAGTCATATGTCAACAATTCAGGTTTGGTTTTTCACATAGAAACCCACATTTCTGCTACACTGTTGTCTTGTAAGACGATGTTCAATATTCTTGTCCTATTAGGAAAAGCCTGTATTGCACACATTTAGTTTTTTTAATAAAACACTTGTTCTCATTGGTATCTGGCTTCTTCCCTTTCAGACTGTTGTCTCTGTCTGTGTGACTCAAGACCCTTGGGTTAGGATTCAGGGGGGCTGGGAAAGGAGATGCTGGAAGCTTCTTCATTCCAGCCCACTTGGCTTGAGCGTCAACGCAGCCCCAAGGAAGATGCAATCTTCCAGGGAAGTCTCCCAGATGCTGTCCAAATGTGAAAAGGGATCAGGATAGGATTGAAGGAAGTACTAGCCCTTCCTTCAAGGAATTTGCAATCTCTTCTTGGGAAAATCAGGATCTGGCTCATCATCGTATAAATGGGTAATGCCAAAATTCAGCTCTGTTCCTTATGCCTCACCATCCCTCTGCCCAGACAGAGAAGAACCACCCGCTGCCTTCCAGGGATTTAGAATCTCATGGGGCTTCTCTCACTCTGAATAATGGTGATTAATTACTGGTGTTGCTTTTTAAATCTTCTGTTTAATTACAATCCCCTTGGGTATTTGGACTAATCTCTCTTGATGCAGAATTGGAAGGTTGCCAATTCTTGGGCAGCTTTCATGTTTCTGCCACTTACTCACTCATGAACACAGAGACCAAATAAATATTGAGTTAGGATCTATATGAAGCTATGCTTTTGTTTTTCTTTTTTTAATCCTCACCCAAGGATATGTTTTCATTGATTTTAGAAAGATAGGAAGGCAAAGAGAAGGAGAAAGGTAGGGAAGGAGAGAGAGAGAGAGAGAGAGAGAGAGAGAGAGAGAGAGAGAGAGAGAGAGAGAGAGAGAGAGGTTGCTTCATATACCCGACCTGCTGGGGCTTGAACCCACAAACTTTGGGTGCATAGGACAACACTCCAACCAATCAAATCACCCAGCCAAGATGAGGCTGTAGTTTTAATTAGTTACTTTAATATGCATGAGTGAGAGACAGGTGGAGACATAATCCCATCCCTGATGCTCAAATGGCATATGGATCTTAAAAACACTTCCAGCTCTTCTAGCCCAGCAAGACGAGAGCCATGGATTCTGAGAGTGTCTAAATGACTCACCTGCCTTAAAACACAGAATCTTAAAACAGAGCTGGGATTTCATTTCAGATCACAGGTTCCTGAAGCTAAAGATGAGATATTATATTGAATTATCATCAGCAGTGCCTCTGAGTGGTTATTTAGGCAACAAATACTTTGTTGCCTTTTTTGCTTAGATGCTAAGAAGAGTGATACATACATTTAAAAATGGAAATGAACTATTCAACTTAAAAGCAAAACGGATGATTATGTGGGTAACAATAACAGCTGATACCTATGATTTAACCAATTTGGTCCCGAAAATCACTCCATGAAATAGGCAATGCTGTTCCTATATTTCATATACAAAAACTAAAGCTTAGAGAGTTTAAATAATAAGACCAATGTGACAGAGATATAAGGTACTTTAGCAAGAATTGAGCCCAGACGTGTCTAATTCCAACATCTAATCCTAAGTACTGAACTAACCTCTCATACACCTACCCCGAGTAGCCTATATCAGTGTTAGAAAACACATAATCCCTAACTGCTGGGATATTTTTCAACAACTCAGCCCTAAACTTCTAGTTTTAGGATTTAGATACGTTTCGTATGACAAGTATACCAGGGAAGTGACATTTTAAAACAAACTCTGTTGACCACGGAGCTTTGCTTTGCTATTAAAAACAAGACAGGCATATTTACCATAGCTATTGATTCCCCCTGACAGGCCCAAACTATCATTATCAGACACAGTGAAGGAAACCATGATACATTTGTGTGCAAACCGCTTAGCCCTTGGATGAGTCAACAGAGTCTTGAGTAACCCCTAAGAGGAACATCTCTGCATTCCTCGCCAGCTGTGACAAATCTTCTCGAAGAGTCATTTGAGGATGCTTAAAAGACAGTGGCAAAAGCAGATTTCTCTTATGCTTTAAAGTGACAAGTGTCAGACCGGAAGCATCTACTGCGTGCCTGACTTTGCCTCCCGTCTCCCTTCTTCGTTAACCCTGAAAGTGCAAATACAAACAAATGTAATCCCGAAGGCCGCCTGTGAACCGGGAGAAATCTGGAATTCCCTGCCAAGCATTTCAGTTCCCGCTGCAGCTGTTACAAGTGTTTGATTTGGCGAGGGAAGAGAAAGGGCGCTGCATACCAATTTCGTGAGCCACAGTGAAAGCTGCGTGGAGGCCGTCGTCTTCAATCACAGCACAGCTGCGCTCCGGAGAACATATGGTCCCAACGTCTGCCATTCCCAGGGTGTCGCATGAATGATGCCCACATAAATCCTTCCCAGGAGAGAGAAAGAAATCATTAAAATCAATTACCATCCAGAAGGGTCCACCTTGAAAAACCACTTGCTCGCTGCGAGAGGCAACACTGGGGGATGTTTATGGTGTCACCTGTTCTGGCTCTGGGAATGTTCCAAAGACAGACCAATGGCATCGACTCGTTTAAGCTTCTCTGGACTCCAGAGGCACCGGAGGATGAGGGGACTCAATTCCATTAAAAAAAGATATCGGAGGATTGGAGCTTGTCCATTATGGTAACAGCTGGAGCCTTCTCCAAGCTGTAGCCCATGTATGCAGACACATATGTCATGGACCACTTTCACATATGGTCATGCTTAGGGAAGCCTTAATAGTCTGGCCTAAATGCATGCTAACTTTATCAGAAGCCCGGCCTAATAATTTATTTTCCATCACAGGGGCAAACTGCAACCACATACTTGTGGCAGAATATCAATGTATCAGTAATTTGGATAGGAAGCTAAATTGTAATCTAAAGCATAATTCCTTAAGCATCTCTTAATTTCCAAATGGAGTTGTAATTTCACAGGTCATGTCTTCAGAAATGTATGCATTTAATGAAGTATTTCTCAACCAGAAAATACATTTTATATATTGTGTTTATATAAGTGAGTGTATGCATTTTTTGGGTGAGAAGTTGTATATTAAGAGATCATAAAGGGGAACATGATTATGCCCCCACTAATGGGTACAAGTTATAGATTTCGATAAAAGAGACATCAACAGACAATTTAAAATGGAGACGTGTAAAGAGAAAATATAAGCCAATTTTTTTTGCATGATAGATATATCATGATAAACTTTCCTTAAATGCTATTTGAGTATTAATATACATTAGAATTTCTTGTGCTTGCCTATGGTTTTCAATAAAAATTAATCGACAGTGTGCAATTTATATCTGAAAAAGCAAGTTAGTACCCTAGTAAGCCACAGTTAAATAACTAGAATGAAAATATTTTTAAAAAATTATTAATTACTATGAAAGATGACAATGTACTAGTTGAAATGACATGCACAGTTTCTATCACAACTATCATCTTACTATCTCCACTACCACAATGTCTGACTTATAAAAGGAGCTCAACAAACATTTGCTTAATTGAGGTGAATTTTGACGTATAATCAGACACAGTGTGTACATCTTACACACCTTTAACAAGCTGTATGCTAGCTAAGCAAGCAAGACCTCAGTGGACTTCTGGGAGATAGCACAAGATGTTATTACTACATATTATAACTAATGCCACCTCCTCACTGTCAACATATTCTTCTAACTCTTCTCTATTTTGCTGCATAAAAATCCAACCACAGTAAAAAATAAAAATAAAATAAAAAAAATTAAATGATATATCCTATGATCTCTCTAGTACATTTTCAGGTTCTTACTATGTGTTCCATGCATTATGAAATCCCAACTGTGATGAATTACACTGTGGCTGCCATCTTATTATGCTAGTAGTTCCAGACAGTGGAAATCTGAATCAAATCACCAAACCAACAGTAGCCTACCAAAGTTTCCTGTGTATCCTTATATGCCATCCTGTGGGATCTCAAATTACAGCTGTTGAGAACAAATTAGTAGTTTTTAAAATTGAAATTGGAACACACTTTTGCCTAATAATAAGTCTTAGATTTAATAGTATAGTACAACACATTTTTAAAATCCATTTCCCCCTGCTCCCCCAATCCTTTTAGTAGCTTTAAGACCAAAGATCCAGGTCATGGTTTAAGCAAATTGCTAGACACTCTCTAAGTTTATTTCTGCACACATATACTTTTTTAAACCAAGACTTGTGTTTATCTCCACAACTTGGGGTTCCTTATCTTCAAGTAGAATATTAAAATTTGATATTGTTTCCTCTTCTTGGAAGAGCCACAGCAAAATAGAAATGGTCTTCCTATTCTGGACAAAATTTAATCTGGATTTTAATTTCTATATGTTTGCTGGTAATGAATTGCTCATTAGAGGCCATCAGTCCTCCTTGTCCTCCTTGAATTGCATTAAATGCATTTGGCCCTTTGCCATGGAAATGCGTGCATGTGACAAATTTATGAACAGAAGCAGCTATTTTTTTTAAACACACTGATTAAACCCCATGATGACATAGTCACACTCTCTATATTTCTGTCACTAGAATTATGTAAACTGGCAGCCTTTCCACTTAATTCACACAGTTTCAAACACTGGCAGCCTCTTTATGATTTCATCCTCAAGATTCACAGCAAATGCATGCATTTCTAGGTGATCCAATGTTCATTCCAATGTATTAAAACCCAACTTGTGCATCAGATCAGTAAGAGTACAGCACATAACATTACACTCATGGCTATTTTTTTGTGGTGATTTATATCAATATTTATAAGTGAGAAT